GCAGAATGTGTGGCAGCAACAGCCGAACGCGCAGCACACTGCCATCCACAGCCAAAGGTTGTTTCTTGAAGCCGCTCGATTTTGAGTGCCTTTGTTCCCCTTCTTACTGCTATACTCTCTGTGTTTGGCATCGCGTTGGTCGAGCGCCATCTGAGACGGACCACTCGAAAGTGTGTAATTCGAGCTGACAGGCCCGGTAAAATCGGTTGACCTCGGTGGGCAGTCTCGGCATAACGTGGCCTGAAGACGCGACAGGCGCACTTCGCAGCAGTGCAGAAGCGTTAGGGACGGAGAGAGAGGCCGCGGGATGCTAATGCCTAATCACAGCTCATCGGGCGGACAGGCTAGATCATTACAAGCACAACGAAAATGCCATTTCAGTGGTGCAAACATTTTGTGGCAGCCTGCAGCCAGTCCCACAGTTCAGCGCGGTTTGTTCATTTTCGAATTTTGACAGTCAACTTTTTGAACGCGTTGCATTTATCAATTTTGATATACAGTTCAATGCAAAATTTAAACTATGCTGATTAAGTGAAAAGGGCTTTTTTTTCCTCGATGGGTTCTCGATCGAAGTGTTGGAGGAGACGGGAGAGACGAAAGAACTCCGTTTTACCACCTTGCCAATGTCTTCTTTTATGAGGTAGTTATTTTAAAGACGAAACGAACGTCACAATCTACTTGCGATTCTGACGCTCCTTTCCTTCCAACGCAGCGTTATTCAAGACAGTTGGAAAAGTGCCAGCTGCGTAAGTGGAGAACGATACCATGAAGTGCTGCTCATTAAATGCACACATCCATATACACACATATATGTATGTATGTGTATATATGTGTATGTACACATGCATGTATATATGTACACATACGTGTATGTACACATGCACATATATATATATATAATGTACATGTATATGTATATATATACGCATGTGTGTATGCATTTACATCGCTTTAGTGCTGCTGTTGGCGTCCGTTTGGTCTTAGCGCCCTTCCGTAACATTCGCTGGAAATTTTGTCGTGGTTGCTATGAAAATAAAAACTACGTTACCTGACGGTTAGCTTGCCTTTGGTCCTGGCACTCGTTTTC